AGGGGGGGCAAGCCAGGTCCGTTCGCGCCGCATCTGACATTCTACTCCTCCCACCCATCACTTCCCGTTGCCCTGGTGGGGCACAACCCTCCTGCGCTGGAGTCCGATATCATCGGACTAAAAACTCGCGCATGCAACATTACATACATGCATGCATGCACACATACATACCTGAATCCGTGCATGCATGCATGCATGCAGACTTGCATACATGCAGACATGCAGACATGCATACATATATACATACATACACACGCACATGCATGCCTACCAACATGCATCCATCAATATATACATACATGCAGACATACGTACATACGTTCACAAGTCCATATATACATACATGCATACCTACATGCATACATGTAACCAGACCTACAACCATACATACATGCATGCACACATGCGCACATGCACATATACATACCTGCACACATTCATGCGTGCATGCATGCATCCATGCATACACACATACCTACAGACATGCAGCCGCCCATACAGGCATACACATGTGTACACGCATCCATGCATACATGCATACATACGTACATGCATGCACTGGTGTTTGCAAACATGCATGCAGGCATACATACCTACACGCATGCGTGCATACATAAATACATACATATGGACATGCGTGTATGCACGCATGCATGCACACGTGCACGCATGCATACATACATGCACGCATGCGTACATACATACATGCATATCTACATGTATACGTGCAGCCATACACCAATCCATCCGTGCATCGATACACCCATGCATCGACAACGACATACACACATCCATATATACATACATACATACATGCATGCATGCAGACAGGCAGACAGGCAGGTAGGCAAGCATACGCAGCCATACGCGCACACATGCATATGCGCACACATACATCCATGCAGGCGTTCATACATACAAGCATGCATACGTGCATGCGTATATGTACACGTACATGCATACGTGCACGCATGCACACATACATTCACACAGACGTATACACATACCAGCATACCGATCTTCATGTACAGGTGCATCGACATGCCCATCCATACATACATCGATACACCCATGCATCACATAATACATGCATGTATCCATATATGCATGCATACACGCATGCAGGAAGACCGACAGGCAGGCATACACGCATCCATATATACATGCACACATACATACATACATACATACATGCATACATACATACATACATACATACGTACATACGTACGTACATACATATATACATACATACATACATACATACATACATACATACATACATACATGCATGTGCACACACATGCATACAAATAAACATTCGCACCTACAAACATGTATGCCTGCATGCATACATACATATCTACATACATACACATGTACGCATACACTCATGCATACCACCCATGCGTGCAACCATCGACCCACCCACCCACCCACCCACACATCCATCAATCCATGCATACATGCATCCACCCATCCATACATCAATGCATACATACATACACAAAGACAAGCATACATATGTTCATGCATACATACATAGGTGCATGAATGTATGCATGCATGCATGCGTGCATACATACACGTGCTAGGTATACATGGTTAGTGCGCTGGGTCGCCTCAGTCTTTCCTTCTTCCCGCATCCCTCCTCTCTCATCCTACCTGTCGGCTAGCTTGCCTCCTGCCTCGCCGTCCTGCCTGGGCATTTTCAAGGGTCGCGTGGGGGGGGCAGCGGAGTGACGCCATACACCGCCTCATCTCAGACCTCGCCAACAACAGAGTGACGTCATACGCGGACTCAGGCTGGGCATCGCAATCCCTGAGGGGGCTGCGAACTGCGAAACCGTAGTTACCCTCAAAGGCTGCTGGGGGAGGCAGCGGAGTGACGTCAGACGCGGGCACATACTAGACCTCGGCATCATCCCTGGGGGGGCTGCGAACTTCACAACTGTCGCCACGTTCAAGGGCTGCTTGGGGGGAGGGCGGAGTGACGTCATTCGCGGACCCAGATTAGACCTCGCCACCATCCCTGGGCGGGGGGCTGCAAACTGAAAAAGGATTGCCACTTCCGTGGACTGCTGGGGAGGCCAGCGAAATGATGTCACACGCGGATTCAGATTAGACCTCGCCATCCCTGGGGGGGGGCTGCAACCTGGAAAAATGTGAACACGTTCGAGGTCTGCGGGGGGGGGGACAGCGGAGGGACGACATACGCGGAAGCAGATTAGACCTCGCCAGCCCTGTGGGGCTGCGAACTCCGAAACGATCGCCACGTTCAAAGGCCGCTGGTGGACCAGCGGAATATCGTCATACGCGGACCCATATTAGACCTCGTCATCATCCCTGGGGGGGGGGCGGCTGCGAACTGCGAAACTGTCGCCACTTTCGAGGGCTGCGCAAGGGGGGGGGGGCAGCGGAGTGACGTAATGCGCGGACTCAGGTTAGACCTCGCCATCCATGGATGGGGGGGGCTGCGAACTGCAAAACGGTCGTCACGCTTGAGGGCTGTTGGAGGGGGGGGGCCCTGGTGGGGGGGCTGCGAGCTGCGAAATTGTCGCCACGCGGAATGACGCCATACGCGGATTCAGATCAGATCTTGTCATCATGGAGGGGGGTTCCGAACTACGAAACTGTAGTCACTTTCGAAGGCTGCTGGGGTAGGCCTGGCGTCATACGCGGACCCATATAAGACCTCGCCATCACTCAGGGGGCTGCGAACTGCGAAACCGTCGCCACTTTCGAGGGCCGCTGGAGGGCCAGCGTGGTGACGTCATACACGGGATCATATTAGACCTCACCATCCCTGGGGGGGGGGGGGGGCATGCGAACATCAGAACTGTCGCCACATTCGAGGGCTGCTGGGGGGCCAATGGAATGGCGTCACACGCGGACTCAGATTAGACCTCCCCATCCCTGCGGGGGCTACGAGCTGCGAAAGCCTCGCCACTTTCGAAAACTGCTGGCGGGGTCTCGCTGAGTGACGTCATGCGCGGACTCGGCGCAGACTTACCATCCCGGGGGGGGGGGCTGCGAACTTCAAAACGGTCAAGACTTTCGAGGGCTACTGAGAGGGCCAACGGAACGACGTCACACGCAAAATCAGATCAGACCTCGCCAACCCTGTGGGGGCCGCGACCTGCAAAGGTGTGGCTATTTTCGAGGGCTGCTGGGGGAGGGGGGGGGGCAGCGGAATGACGTCATGCGCAGACTCAGATTCGATCTCGCCATCTCTGGGGGGGGGGTGCGAACTGCGAAACTATCGTAACTTTCCAGGGCTGCCGGGTGGCCAGCGGAGTGACGTCATACGCGGATGCCGACGACAGCTCCGTAACCGCCGCAGCCGCGGGATAAACAATAAAACATCTCCCGCCGCGGGGGGCGCTGTCCACCCGCCCGGGAGAGGGCGTGGGGGGATGGGTCCTACCTTCAGAACTCCTGGGCGAACATTCGCTGGGCAGTCGTGGAGGGAAGGCGAAGAGAGGAACAGGGAGAGAGGGAGGAAGTAAACCAATCGAGAGAACGCGTTTCACGGGCGCTTGCCTGGGGAACATGCGGCGGCGCGTTTCGAACCGGGGAAGCCTCCCCCCCCCCCAACACTCGGCGCCGGCAATCAAAACCAGGGGGACTCCACTCCCCCCAACCCCCCCCTCCCGAACCCCCCTCCCCCCCACCCTCCCAAGGGGGGAAAGGGGGGGGGTCAACCCCCCCCCCCCCCCCTCGGCGCCGGCGCCGGCGCTGGCGGCCGCCAGCAGCGCCCACGGCGGGGACGCAGCGACGATGACCAGAGGCAGCCCAGGGGGGGGGTTCAAACCCCCTCCCCCCCGTCGCGACAGCGCCGGCGCTGGCGGCGGCCAGCAGCGCCGGCGCTGGCGCCGGCGACGGCGGGGACGCAGCGACACTTACCACCACTACCACCACTACCACCACTACCACCACTACCACCACTACCACCACCACTACCACCTCAACCCACCACCACCACCACCACCAACAGCACCACACAACCACCACCACCACCGCATCCACCACCACCAACACCACAACCACCACCACAACTCACCACCACCACCACCACCACCACCACCTCAAAAACCCACCACCACTACCACCACCACCACAATCTACCACACCACCACAACCACCGCCACAACCACCACCACTACCAGCAGCACAACCCACCACCACCACCACAAACCACCACACCACCATCACCACCACCACAAACCACTGTCGTCCTCGTCGACGCTCCCCGCCACCGCCGCCCGCCGTCGCAGGCGCCGGCGCCGGCCCAGAAATGGAAATCGTCGTCCCCGCCGCCGACACGAGCGCCGGCCCGAAGAGAAGGGACGCAGAGGAGGAGGGGGGGGGTGGGTTCGACCCCCCCCCCGTCACGGGAAAGGGGGGGGGGTTCGACCCCCCCCCTTCATCCAGGGTGGGGGGGGGTCTGGTTTCACCCCCCCCCTCCAAGCGACCACAGAACGCGCTCTTTCGAACCAATCGTGAAGAGAAGGGAGCAATCATAGACGGAAGCAAAGCAATCGTGGAGGAAGAAAAGTAATCGCATTGAGCAGTCGTTGAAGGGAGGGAGCCCAGACCACCGACGTCATGATTTGCTCATAACGACGACCCACTGAAGTCTCGACCCCTTCCCCGGGACCAGAGTCTCGTCCCTAATCGTTCTCTGACAGCCCCAGGTCCGGCAAGGGCCCCCGGAGGCCGAAAATAACAGAAGAAAAAAAACAAAAAAACAAAAAAAACGGTCGTTACGCAACTGTTTCGCATCGCGAGGGGTTCTAGGGATATGTGTTTCGCCCGCGAGTGACCCCCACCCGGGCAAGGGGGGATGAAAGGCGGCGAGGAGGAGGAGGAGGAGGAGGAGGAGGAGGAGGAGGAGGAGGAGGAGGAGGAGGAGGAGGAGGAGGGAGGAGGAGGAGGAGGAGGAGGAGGAGGAGGAGGAGGAGGAGGAGGAGGAGGAGGAGGAGGAGGAGGAGGAGGAGGGGGGAGCAAGGCAGGGCGGGCGGCGGGCGAAGCGCGCGAGGCGAGCGCCGACTCCGCTCCGCGCGCGCGCGCGCGGGGAGCCTCCGCGAGAGGGCGGCGGTGGGGCCGCAGCCCCGCCGAGAGGATCCGTCCCTCTTCTTCTCGGGCCCGTGCGGCCTCCCTCCTGTGACGAACCAACAGCGCACGCCCACATCCCCAGACCCCCTCGAGTAATGACAAAAATCATGACGGGAGGTTTTTCCTGATTTTCGGCCTCGGGGGGCCCTCACCGGGCCTCGGGAGTGTCAAAAAACGACTCAGGATGCAAAGCCGGTCATGGAGAAAGGGTCGGGACCTACAAGGGTCGACGTAATGAAAAAATCATTACGTCGGGGGTCTGGGTCCATAGGGGGGTCGGAGAGGGCTATGGGTGCGCGTGGTCGCATGGGGGTCCCCGCTCGAAGGGGAGCGCTCCCCCCCCAGGGTCCGACGACCCGCACCCATGCCCGTAGCCAGTCCTCCTCTCAACGACCCCCCCTATGGGCATGGGTGTGCTGCTCGTTTGTCATCCTGCCCCTCTGGCCCGGGGGGCCGTAGGGGAGGGAGCGGCGGGAGAGGAGCGGAAACTGGGCGGAGGAGCCCGCCCGGCGCGCCCCCCGGGCGCACGGGCCCCGCGCCGCGCCGCCGCGCGCCGCGGTCACCGAGGGGCCTGCAGGCTCGCGGCGAGCCTCGGGAGGGGCCCAGGGAGGCACAAACAGGTCGACGCGAAGTCTCATGCCGCTCCCATCGTGCTCGGGGGCCACATCCCAGAAGCAGGTTCGAGCACCCAGGAGAGTATCGAAGCGGTGCCTACCCGACACGCCTGCAGAGTGTTCAGCGAGTCTCGCCTCCCAGGGCACCACACGTACATGGAAACCCTCCAGTTTCGGTGCGGTCATGGCGCTCGAATTTCCTCCTGGTGATCAAGGCTAGAGTAGGTTGGAGCATCATAAGCCAGGTCCAGGATCCGGGGGAGGAGGAGGAGGAGGAGGAAGAGGAAACTTCCATGCTTCCTGGGTGCTCCTCTCTCCCAGCGGTCCAGCTCTGCGTCCGAGGCGGAGCCTGCCCCGGTGGCCGAGGCGCTCTCCCCAAAGCGCGAGGCGCCAGCGCGGCGCACCGCGTTCCGCAGGTGGCGCTCACGCGCAACATTACGCACGAGACTTGCGCGCCGGTATCCGCGCAGTTGGACCCGTGGGCCTGCGTCGCCCAGATTCCCATGGAAATCAACGCGTTTCGGAGTGTGCGTGTGTGTGTGCGTGAGTGTGCGTGAGCGTGTGTGTGTGTGTGTGTTGTATGTGTGTGTTGTGTGTTGTGTGTTTGTGTGTGTGAATGTGAATGTGAATGCGAATGCGAACGTGAATGAGAATGCGAATGTGAATGTGAATGTGCATGGTGTGTTGTGTGTGTTGTGTGTTGCGTGTGCTGTGTATTGTGTATTGTGTATTGCGTTTTGTGTTGTGTGTATCATGTATTGTGTGTTGTGCATTGTGTACAGCGTAGTGTGTAATGTGTGTAGTGTGTAAGTGTGTATTTGTGTATGTGAGTTTGTGTGTTTGTGCGTGTGCGTGTGGGTGTGCGTGTGCGTGTGCGTGTGCGTGTATGTGTGTGTGAGTGTGAGTGTGAGTGTGAGTGTGAGTGTGAGTGTGAGTGTGAGTGTGAGTGTGAGTGTGAGTGTGTGAGTGTGAGTGTGTGAGTGTGTGAGTGTGAGTGTGAGTGTGAGTGTGAGTGTGAGTGTGAGTGTGAGTGTGAGTGTGAGTGTGAGTGTGAGTGTGAGTGTGAGTGTGAGTGTGAGTGTGAGTGTGAATGTGAGTGTGTGTGTGTATGTGAGTGTGTGTGTGTGGGGCGTGTGCGTGTGCGCGTGGGTGTGCGTGTGCGTGTGCGTGTGCGTGTGCGTGTGTGTGTGCGCGTGTGTGCGCGCGCGTGTATGTGCGTGTATGTGTGAGTGTGTGTTGGTGTGCTGTGTGTTGTGTGCATTGTGCGTGTTCGTGTGCGAACGCAAATGTGAATGCGAATGTGAATGTGAACGTGAATGTAAACGTGAATGTGAATGTGAATGGGAATGTGAATGTGTGTTGTGTGGTGTGTGGCGTGGGATGTGCCTGGTGATTTGCGTCTTGTGTAGGGTGGATTATGCATTGTGGATTGTGTTTGTGTCTTGTGTAGTGTGTATTGTGAATTGCGCATTGTGTAGCGCGTGTTGTGTATTGTGTAGTGTGTATTGTGTATTGTGTATTGCGTATGCGTCTGTGTATGTGTATGTGTATGTGTATGTGCATGTGAACCGAGCCGTTGGACCTGCTGGCTTACATCGACACGATTCCCATGAGAACCAACGTGTTTCGAGTGTGTGTGTGTGTGGTGTGGGTTGCGTGTTGTGTATTGTGTAAATGTGAATGTGAATGCGAATGCGAATGTGAATGTGAATGTGAATGTGAATGTGTGTGTGTGCGGTGTGTCTTGTTTGTTGTGTGTTGTGGGTTGTGTATTGTATGTTGTGTATTGTGCATTGTGGTGTGTGGCCTATGTTGTGTGGAATTTGTATTGTGTTTTGTGGATTGCGAGTTGTGTATTGTGTATGTTGTATTGTGGTTTCTGTAGTGTGTAATGTGTATTGTGAAGTGTTCATTGTGGCTTGTGTCTGTGTATGTGTATGTGTCTGTGCCTGTGTGCGTTTGCGCGTGTGTGTGTGCGTGTGTGTGTGTGTGTGTGTGTGTGTGGGGGGGGTGTGCGTGTGCGTGTGCGTGTGCGTGTGCGTGTGCGTGTGCGTATACGTGTGCGTGTGCGTGTGCGTGTGCGTGTGCGAGTTCCTGTGCGAGTGCGTGTGCGTGTGCGTGTGCGTTTGCGCGTGTGTGTGTGCACCCACGTGGGGCGTGCACGCGCCATCTTACGCGGGACACTTACGCAGCAGTGCCTGCGCCGTTGGACCTGTTGGCTTACATCGGCCCGATCCCCATGGAAAAACAAAGTGCTTCGGCGAGTGTGTGCGTGTGCGCCTAATTGGGGCGTCCACGCGCAATGTTACGCATGAGACCTGCGCGCCAGTGTCCGCGCCGATGGACCCGTTGGCTTGCGTCGCCCCGATTCCCATGGAAATCAGCGTGTGTCGGTGTGTGTGTGGGTGTTTGTGTGTTGTGTGTTGTGTGTGTGGGTGGGTGTGGGCGGGTGGGTGTGAGTGAGTGAGTGTGAGTGTCAGTGCGAGTGCGAGTGCGAGTGTGAGTGCGAGTGTGTGTGTGAGTGTGAGTGCGAGTGTGAGTGTGAGTATTAGTATAAGTGTGAGTGTAAGTGTAAGTGTGAGTGTGAGGGTGAGGGTGAGGGTGAATGTAAGTGTAAATGTCAGCGTCAGTGCAAGTGTACGCGTCAGTGTCAGTGCAAGTGTAAGTGTAAATGTGAGTGTGAGTGGAAGTGTGTGTGTGTGCGTACTTGGGGCGTCCACGCGCAATCTTACGCGGGAGACTTACGCGCCAATGCCCGCGCCGTTGGACCCGTTGGCTGACGTCGCCCCGATCCGCATGGGACATGGAAGCGTTTCTGTGCTTAAGTCTATTTTGATGGGCCGATTTCCCACTACCACTGCCACATGCAGGAGCAGGAGGAGGAGGAAGAGATGGAGGAGGAGGAGGGGGAAGAGGAGGAGGAGGAAGACCTCCCCATCCTCCCTTCTCTCCCGTCCTGCCTCTGGTAGTGGTGATGGAGAGTTGGCCCATCATTTGTTTTTGGCTCGTCCTCTCGAGCCTCCGCATCTCCTCTGGCGCCAGTTCGTGCCTGCAGCGGCCGAGGGCGTCGAGGTCCCGCCTCGCCTCCTCGCTCGGATCCGGGCGCGCCGCAATCCGCTGTGCGCGCCCGGCGCTGTCCCCTGGCTTCGGGCCCGTGGATCACGGCAGGTCGATATGGCTCGAGACGTGCCGCGAAAGCAAAGGATTGCAAAAAAAAACCGAAGGATTGCAAAAAAAACCTAGAACGAAGGATTGCAAAAAAACCCTAGAACGAAGGGTTTTTTTGCAATCCTAGGTTTTTTTGCAATCCTGGGTCCAGGGCCTCGGTCGCGTGTTTTTTTCTCGCGATGTCACAACTTGCTCCGCAACGTCGAACCAACCTCTGGAACGCAGGATCGATCCCCCCCCCCGTTATCCGTGGCACCAGCAATTACCCTGGCGACGTACCCAACCCCCTACGCAAAGCGCGGCAGTAATAGCCCAGTAGAATAGCTCCGGAGTGGTAACGTGACGAAGAAGTATTTATTTCTGCAAGCAGCATTCGGAAGGCTCGCAGGTCACCGATCAAGGGACAAGGGCTTCGTAGACATGGTTTCTGAAATCTTTGAATCCGGGGAAAGTAAAGAGGGGCAAAGACTGAGAGGAGAAGGCGAACGGGGACCTTCAAACGTTAGCGGGGCAAGCAAAAGGACATGGCAGCTGGAGGGGAGGAAATGACGACGACAGGAGGGCAGAAGAAGGAGAGAGACTACGTCTTGCTCGTGGTCAGGAGTCGGGATAAGAAGGCCCAATGGGCAACCTCGAGAAGGATGCAGCGATATCACAAACCCAAAGGCAGGGGCGCCCGAGCCTTGCTCGTGGTCAAGGAGTCGGGAGTGATCAAGAGCCCGATGGGCAAACTCGACGGGCGGTGGCGATAACACAAACCGGATGGCAAGGGCACGCGAGCCTTGCGGCTGGAAATGATCGGAGGCCCCGATGGGCAACCTCGAAGGGCGGTGGCGACATCACAAACCGAACGAAAAGGGCACCCGAGCCTTGCTCGTGGTCAAGAGTCAAGAGTGATCAAAGGGCCCGATGGGCAACCTCGAAGGGCGGTAGTGATAGCACAAATCGGATGGCAAGGGCGCGCGAGCCTTACTCGTGGACAAAGGCCGGGAGTGATCGGAGGCCCCGATGGATAACCTCGAAGGGCGGTGGCGAAATCACAAACCGAATGAAAAGGGCAACCGAATCTTGCTCGTGGTCAAAGGTCAAGGGTGAACAGAGGCCGATGGGCAACCTCAGAGGGCGGTGGCGGTATCACAAACCGAAAGGCAAGGGCACCCGAGCCTTGCCCGTGGCTAGAGTCAGTAGTGAACAAAGGCCCGATGGGCAACCACGACGGGCGGTAGCGAAAGATCAAGCCGAATGGCAAGAGCACGCGAGCCGCACGTACGTATAGCTACAGTGTCGCAAGCCGCAGCCTCCCCCCCGGCAGCTCTCGAAAGCGGCGACGGTTTCGATGCAGCCCCCCAGGGATGGCAAGGTCAAATATCCGCCGGCCCCCTTGTGGGGCCACCAGGCTGTAGGACCGTGATTCGCAGTTTCCTGTACCAGTTGTAGCTTGTAGTTTCCAGTGTTACAGTTCTGCTTCTTGCTGGTTACTGTAACTAGTTGATTGACCGCGCGAGGGGGGGGAGGCCCAAACGGTATTTTTAGCACCCCCTGGGCGCGTTGTCTGAATTGCTGGGGGGGCTCGAATTCACGCTGGGCGGGGTCAGGGTCCAAAAACACGATTTGCCACATTTCTGAAATTCGGTGCCACCCCTCACGCAGATCCGCGGGGTCAGGGTCCAAAAACACAGGGGATTTGCCACATTTCTGAAATTCGGTGCCACCCCTCACGCAGATCCGCGGGGTCAGGGTCCAAAAACACATGGGATTTGCCACATTTCTGAAATTCGGTGCCACCCCTCACGCAGATCCGCGGGGTCAGGGTCCAAAAACACAGGGGATTTGCCACATTTCTGAAATTCGGTGCCACCCCTCACGCAGATCCGCGGGGTCAGGGTCCAAAAACACAGGGGATTTGCCACATTTCTGAAATTCGGTGCCACCCCTCACGCAGATCCGCGGGGTCAGGGTCCAAAAACGCGGCAAGTACCCACAAAGCGAGTCCCCCCCCAGCAGCCCTCGAAAGTGGCGACCGTTTCGCAGATCGCAACTCCGCCAGGGACGGCGAGGTCTCAGTTGAATCTGTGGCAAGTACCCATCATGCTGGGCTCCCCCCCAGCAGCCCTCAAAAGCGGCGCCAGTTTCGCGCATCGCAGCACCCCCAACCCCCCAAGAGATGGCGAGGTCTAATTTGAGTCTGCGGCAAGTGCCTGCTGGTCTCCCCAGCAGCCCTCGAAAGTGGCGGCAGTTTCGCAGAGTGCAGCCCCGCCAAGGATGGCGAGGTCTAATTCGAATCTGCGGCAAGTACCCATTATGCCCCCCTCCCCCCCGCAGGCCTCGACAGTGATGACAATTTCACAGATCGCAGCCCCCAAGGGATGCCGAGGTCAAATTTGAGTCTGCGGCAAGTACCCCCCAGCAGTCTTCGAAAGTGCGACAGTAGTTTCACAGATCGCAGCCCCCCAGGGATGGCGAGGTCTGATTCGAATCTGCGGCAAGTACCCTTTTATGCTGCCCCCCCCCAAGCAGCCCCCGAAAATGGCGACGGTTTCGCACATAGCAGCCCCGCCAAGGATGGCGACGTCTGATTTGAGTCTGCGGCAGGTACCCAGTATGATGCCCCCCAGCAGTCCTCGAAATTGGCGGCAGTTTCACAGGCCGCAGGCCCCAAGAGATTGCGAGGTCCAATCTGAGTCTGCGGCAAGTGCCCGCTATGCTGCCCCCCCCCCCCAACAACAGCCCTCGAAAGTGCGACAGTAGCTTCACAAATCGCAGCCCCCCCCCAGGGATGGCGAGGTCTAGTTCGAACCTGCGGCAAGTACCCATTTATGCTGCCCCCCCCCCAGCAGCCCCCGAAAATGGCGACAGTCTCGCACATCGCAGCCCCCCAAGGATGGCGAGGTCGAATTTGAATCTGCGGCAAATACCTGTTACGCTGGGCTCCCCCCCCCAGCAGCCTTCGAACATGGCGACAGTTTCGCACATCGCAGTCACGCCAGGCATGGCGAACTCGAATGTAAATCTGCGGCAAGTGCCCACTATGCTGCCCCCCCAGCAGCTTTCGAAACTGGCGACAGTTTCGCAGATCGCAGCCCCCCAAAGATGGCGAGGCCGCAGGCGGGTGCGCGAGAGACACAAGACAAGAGGTGGTTACCACTGTGACGTACACAACCAATTTGCATCAAATGACAGAAGAACTTAGCCTAACCAAGACAAGGACTGTGCAGGCGCCGTTATATGTTGTGTAAGCTACATGGGGTGCGTTCACGCGGCACGATTCACAGGACATCAACAAAAGGACGAGGAGAGAGGGACCAGGCTTGAGGACGCGCGGGGAGGGGCGAACGGTCAGCGCGGCAGCAGTAGAAGGAAGGTGGCAAGGGGCAGAGGACGACGACGACGAAAGCGACGGGAGGAGGCCGAAAAATGTTGCGTTTGTCGGTGGTACGCTAAACATTATACACGGCCTGCGCCATGTCGCCGCGGCGCTCGGAACACATGCTTAATTGATGCAAGAAGCGAGCGAGGCCAAGCACGCGCGCCAACTTCGCAGCGCCGCAGGGATGGCGATGTCACCTGGTGGTCAGCATAAGACGTCACTCCGCTTGACCCCGCACCAGCCCTCGAAAGTTGCGAGCGTTTCACACATCGCAGTCCCTCATGGGTGGCGATGCCTAATTTGGATTCGGGTAGGACGTCACTCCGCTCGACCCCCCTCCCCCCGAAAGTGGCAACAGTTTCGCGGATCGCAGCCCCACAGGGATGGGGAGGTCCCATTTGAATCTGGGTAAGGCGCCACTCCACTGAACCCCATAGCAACCCTAGAACGTGGCGACCGATTCGCAGATCGCAGCCCCACAAGGATGGTGATGGCGAGGTCCCATTTGAGCTGGGGTAAGACGTCACCCCGCTGCACCACCTAGCAGCCCTCGAAAGTGGCAACAGTTTCGCAGACCCCCCCCCCCCCTCCCGAAGGATGGCGAGGTCTCACCTGGGCCTGGGTAAAGCGGCTCTCCGCTCGACCACCCCAGCAGCCCTCGAAAATGGCGACAGTGTTGCAGATCGCAGCCCCCCAAGGCTGGCGAGGTCTCATCGGGATCTGGGTGGGACGTCACTCCGCTCGAACCCCCTCCCCCCAGCAGCCCTCGAAAGGGGCGACAGTTTAGCAGATCACAGCCCCACAGGGACGGCGAGGTCATATTTGAGTCTGGGTGGTACATACGTCAATCCGCTGGACCACGTCAGCACTCCTCGAAAGTGGCACCCGTCTCGCAGATCGCAGCCCCCCAGAGATGGCGATGTCTTATGTGAGTCTGGGTAGGACGTCGCTCCGCTGCCCCCCCCCAGCAGCCCTCGAAAGTGGCGACAGCTTCGCAGATCAGAGCCTCGCCAAGTATGGCCAGGTTTCATTTGGCTATGGGAGGACGTCGCTTCGCTGGACCCCCCCCCTGCAGCCATCGAAACCAGCCGCAGTTTCGCAGATCGCAGCTCCCCGAGAATGGCGAGGTCTCACCTGGGTCTGGGTAGGGCGCCACGCCGCTGAACCCCCCAGCAGCCCTCGAACATGGCGACAGTTTTGCAGATCGCAGTCCCACAGGGGACGGCGAGGTGCCACTTGAATCTGGGTAGGACGTCACTCCGCTGCCCCTCCCCCCCCAGCAGCCCTCGAAAGTGGCGACAGCTTCGCAGATCGCGGCCCCACAGGGATGGCCAGGTCGCATTGGGGTCTGGGTAGGACGTCACCCCGCTGGACCCCCCAAGCAGCCCTCGAAAGTAGCATGTTTCGCAGATCGCAGCTCCGCCAGGGATAGCGAGGTCTCAATTGAGTCTGGGTAGGACGTCGCTCCGCTTGACCCCCCAGCGGCCGCGGAAGTGGTGACCGTTTCGCAGATCGCAGCCCCACGAGAATGGTGATGGCGAGGTCTCGTTTGAGTC